TAGGTACCTAATAATCACGGTTGTCAAACATATAACCTAACCCCTCGTTAAATGCGTTCGAAATTCACCCACTGAGCATTGACATGTCATAATAAATAAAAATTGTTAAGACGAAAAATCTCGATTGTCAGTTTACCTCCTAGAATGTACATTGGCAGTAATTAACAATGGCATTCTTAATTATTATTAAATAATAACTATTGAGTAATGCGATCCCAAGATGTTATTAATTTTATAATTTTAGTATCAAGCGTGTCCCTTTTTGGTGTTACTATTCTTAGGGAACGCTCTGCAGAAAGAATAAATTAAGCTTAATGGTCTCATGTGAGAATTGGCTGTATAAAGTCTATCGTCTTAGTGTAGGCTTGATCGCATAGCTTACGCTATGACTCAGGCGTTGGCCTAATCCACGATGATAAGCAACTTTTCCAAAGTCCCGGACGCGATAATCACTTCTGAACGCGTGCGTGGACTTAAAAATATTTCTCACAATACCGAGTAGTTATACCATACATGAATATCATGGTGGTAAATACCAATTGTTCAATACTGGATCTTATGAAACCCTAGCCCCTCTGGAACTAATTAATTTTCAATGACAGCCACGAATCACGACGGCTATAATTTATATACACAACTACTGAACTACGTATAATAAATCGGCTAAACTTATAGCAAGATTATGTTAATAATAATTATGTGTTACCTAATTTTTACACGAATTATCTGTATATTCTATGATATAATATCTTAGTAGTAATCCAAAAACAATATATTATTATAATATTGTACGTATATAGCATAAGTACAGTTGGCAGTTAAACTGAACCCAGATATTTAGAAAAAATGTATACTGTTATATCTTTTTATTCAAAATATGGTATGCACTATGCACCTCATTATTGTTATTTGCCGTAAGTCAGACTCTAATATCATAATATACCTAGATTCTTGTAAGAGATTATTTAAAAGTATTCAAGTACAGATACAGTATTACAGTCACAAAGATACTTATTTTGAAAAGTATTTAAATAACGTATTTAAATATTCAGTAAAAACATTATTTATTGATATTTTCAAAAACGTTCAAATTTTTTATAAAATATAATTTTTACCTTATAACTAATTTTCGTGTTTTACGTTAGTTGTTTGAAGCATATATTTTTGACCACATCATTAGGTTGAACTTTAGGTACTCTACTGATGTTTGGTTTGTCGAAGTAATTGATTATCGGAAAAAAATTACAAAAAAAAAATGTATTATATTCTCAATTTGTATTTGTATTTGAAGCTATCAAAATTAAAATAGAAAACATTTAAACTAATAATAATTATCAAAGTAAATACTTGATTTTAAACACAGTACTTTGAGAAAGTATTTAAAATACGTTTTTGAGACTTGAGTGCTTAAAAAGTATTTGAATACTTTTACTCAAGTACCTTACAATACTGTATAATTATCTATAATACTACTAGGATATAGATTTTGATGAGATACCTACAAGTTGTACAAAATTCACTTAAAGTGTAAAAATATGCATTGAATACCTTAACGAATCCACTTTAAAAAAAAACTATAAAATGCATTTAAATGTATTTATTGATTTTATTAATTTTTTATCTTCAGAATATAAAAAATACATGAACGTTTGTTACAAAAAATTTAAGAATATTATTTCTTAAATACCTATTAGTAATAGATTCTATCTATTTTTAATATGATAAAATATATTTAAAGAAATTAATTAATTTATATCATAATTTGTAGGCAATGGTGAAATATTGATCACTATTAAGCTACAAATCAAATATCTACGAAAATATTAATTACATTTTTATAGTTCCGTTGGGAGTTGAAGCATTAACCTGTTGCCCACATTGAGACTAAGCTAAAATGATCTCAAAAAAAATATTAATTTTTTCTTTTTAAATAATCGAAAGTAACTAATATTACCTCATAACTCGTACATGTTGACCGTTATTACCTCATAACTCGTACATGTTGACCGTTATTACCTCACCATAGTATATATTTCACAAAAATAACCATACGTTTTAGTATCAAACTAATATTTAACTTGTGTAAGTAAAAAAATATATATACATTGTGTGTGCATTTTGGATCGTGTTATACTTAAACTAAGCAAAAGTGTCGTAAAAAATCATAGGTACCGATAAATATTGTTGACATTTTATATTTCTTAGGTGCATTGAAATGTATGTAATAAGACATTACAATACTTAATTGCTAAAAAAAAATCATAATATGTTCACTTGACGATTTATACTACAATACTAATGGTATTTACAAGAATACTCAAAATATGATAGTTTTGTTTATGAACATACGCGACACCAGTATTATCCATTGACCAGTTGTTCAAGATATAATATGATTATCGTTCGTCGCGATATTTCGAGACTAAGGCCAACGACCTTTTGTACCTCGATGAGCTCGGCGAGCTCAACGGACGTCCCCTCCGCACTTGCCTGTACGACAACCGTGGATATCCACCGACGTACGACGTACTATCTGTTCTTCCGCTACCATCGTTCGAGACGTCGCCTTTGTCGCGTGTGCGTTTGCCATCGTGGGCCTTTTTGTGCCTTTTTGCGCCGTTGGCGTGTGTAGTATTGCGAACGCTAGTTTCCATTGATTGTTCAGCATCTTGTCGCGCGGGACATCGTTGCTGTCGTGCGTGGGCGCGTTTATTGGCTATTGGCCGTGTGAACCGTTGAAGTCGTGTATTGACTTTGCAGCCTTTACGTCATCCGCATTGTAGTCATTGTATTGTCGTTGCGGGTCGTCACTTTCATTGCGTCCCTTGTCTGTTACGAGTGCGTAAAAATTAGGCGGATTTTGGTGTCAATGGCCTGACACCTGTCACTTATCATAAAGTGATATCAGGCCAATAATTAAGCGCCACCAGTCTATTGGTCACACTGCAAGGGACCCAGCCGTCAGTGGAGCTTAGCAGCTGCTTGCTGTTACTGTTATTTTGTTTGTTTTGAATACTATCCGTGATATCAGTGATATCGATCACGTAAATTATTATCAATATTAATCGATTTATAATTATTTTTATAATTTAGTATTTCTTGTATTTGGGCGCTCGTCTTTCATTATTATTGTTATTATTTATATTGTGTATTTTATACGACGCGTATTATAGTGTACATATGTAGCACGACGGTGCATATAAAAATTATTGGTTTTGTTTATTATAATATTGGTCAGCCGCTCCTTGTACGGTAGTTAACTATACACTCTTTGTTTTCTTAGCTTGCCATCCTAGGCCAACCGCATTACGTAGGAGTCTGGTGGTACATTCCAACTTATCTATGATAATATATGATATATTAATTACATAATTGATAATGGTGTTAATTTACTAAACTTATCAAGAACCTTACAAAAACATTCATAAAAGTCATACATTTTATCTATATAGTAGGCATGTAGGTATATCATAATATAGCAATCTATATATTTCTACTATACGAATGCTTATCTCTATAGCCATTATAAGGTTACGACTTTACGAGGCACTAGTGGTGGAGATGCGAGTCCCTGAGGTGTACTTGTCTTATGGTCTGTGGCAATAAGGAAACGAAATATATGCATCTTACGGTTAATGTAGAGACTGGGCGGGAAATCGTCCTGAGCACGATGCTTGAAAGATGTCAGCAGCTGGGAGTGAAGCCACTGACGGAACCGAATTGGGATATGACTACATGTTACTTCGAGTGTGAAGGGTGACTCGCAATATGTGATGGTAGCGAATCTCCCGCTTGGTTAATGGGTATCTATGTATACCCGAATCTCGTTGAATACAACTATTCTTGAATGTTTTGTTTTTTATCATCATATCTCTAGCATATGTTGATGTAAAATTACATGTAGTAGAATGATACTGCTATGTACGCTGTGTTGTTCCACCTGGTATACTATTCACTGAAGTGCAATCGTCAAGTTATTTTGTGTATTTTTCCTTAACATGGGGATAGTCTCACGGAGGGCATTTTAAATATTTAAAATAGATTTGCTAAAGGAAATTATAAGGCTGTTCGATGCTGGTTTTAATGCATAGTATTAAATGGGTCATGGGTATATTACTTGAAGTTCATTGGCACACACACAGAGGCGCGTGGGGGAGCTTAGCATCCCCAGATGATTTTGAGTTAAAAATATTGTTTAAAGTGAACTTTGCGTTTGAAAGAAAAAGTTTAGTCCAGTTTGTATCGGTAATGGACATATATATCCTGTTCAAACATGTTTAGTGTATTTAAATTGAAAAAAAATAAAAAATGATGAAAGTAGAGAAAATGTGGATGACCCTGATTGCATCCCTTGTTCACCGAAGAATTTAACAGCCACTGTATTAACTTTTTATGATATATTAGTCAAACAAAGATTCTTTATTGAAAATCAGATTCATTACTTCGATTTCTTTTTTATTGAAAACATTTATAATTTTATTTGAAATGCAATTAATTTACGTCAGGAGTGTATAACTGTATAGCTGTATAAGAGGCTAGGGGACCAAGCCCTCCACGGGTCACTTTGGGGTAAAAAATTTTAGCACTAACAAGTTTAAGACTGAATGTGCGCCAATGCTGGAGTTTGCTTACCCTGTCAATTCACACTATAATAAGTTTGTAAATTGTGCCTTTCAAAATTGTAATCACTAACTGACATATTCGTCTTAAAAACTAACAAAAATTTATTGTTGATTTAAGATTTATACATTAAGGTCATAATATAATACACCTACTATTTTATTTTTATAAATCTGCACATTTTAATTAATAATAATTATGATGTTAGAATACTACTGTTTCTGATTAATATTTTCATTTATTATAAAAAGTAATTTAGTTATATCTTTATGTTTTAACTCATCAAGTAGTAATATTTCAACGTATAAATATGTACAGACTGTTGAAATAGAAAAAAATAAGTTTAATGTTATAAACAATGAATTTTGATAATTTTTAGTTTAGGCTGATAAACTAAGTAATACTGCTGTTGCTCGTTTTATCCAATACTCTGGAGATTCCGATCCACTGTCAAGGTACATCATGATTATAAACGATTCTTTTCCTTCTCCACACCTCGAAGGATAATAATATATAGGGCATTGGTAGAAATCTAAAAATGTGTAAATATGTAAGGTGTTTAACATACATTAAAATACATGCATTTTTAACGGCATAGTACTTTTTGCGATTTTTGCACTTTCTATGGGCTTAAAATGTATAACCGGCAAGTTGGAAATAAATTTTAATGGTACCGATTCACACAAACATGATTTTTTGAAATTCCAATCAGCTCCTTCTAAATAAAGATCACGTATGTAAACTCCTTCCTAGAATAATTTTAAATGTTCATAATTATTTAAGATATTTGTTCAATATTTTAATAGTATCATACTATCTACGATTACTTTTGGAGCTAGTGATTCTCTCTCCGGTTGTATTGGAATAAATTCCCAATAAAGTAAATCTATTGCTATATTCGAACTTCGTGAATGAATCTAAATTATATTTTTAATTAATCAATTATTGTTAATATAAATAATAACAGAAACAAAAAATAATTACCTGTAATACAGCTGTCAAAAAAGTAATTGGGTAAGTATAAGCTCCCAACCAAAATAAAATCGGAGGATGGGTTTTGTTTGCCCAAATTTTAAAATGATTGATTCTTTCTATTAAATCTTCGGTCCATGGTCCCAGAGACATTAATGAAGGATATGCTAAATGTTTTTTTTTATGTTAAGGTTTATTAATAAAAAATGTATTATGTATAAGTGTCATCATTTTAAATTACCTTTGAGCCATTGACCAGGAACTCTACCATCATTTATAAACTGGAATATCCTTTCAAGATCAGATGTCATTATTGCTAACCCTCTGATGCTTTTCATTAGGTTGATTAATGACATTTTAATTTCACTCAATAAACTATTATAACGTTGTACCTAAAAAGAACAATTATTTTCTAAAATATATATTATATTTCTAAATTTAACTAAAATGTATCTTGAAGCTATAGAAAAATTAAATTTTTCATTTTGAGTAGCTAATAGTTATATTAAGGAAGACGTTGTACCCTCATATTATGTCTCAGCTAACAGGCATAACATAGCAAATTGTATGATCAGAAGAATCTATTTTACTCTATAATTGCTTAAGTTAGATTGAATTGATACATTCAAATGTCATAAGTAGTATTCACCGACCTAGACCCCACATAGGCTTGTGTTATGAGCATTTTAATTTCATTCTTTTTTCTAAATAAAAGGTCTTCCGAGTTGAATTTAGCTTTTAATTATTTTGGTAGCAAGTAAGATTTATTATGATTATGACGAGTACCTCTTGTAGCAGTACAATATCCAAGGGGTTCCTTTTGACATTTTTTGCAGTAGTTTCATAATCAATAAGATCAGGTAGTTTTTTCAGAATTTTAGAAGATAAGTCTAAAACTTTGCCTTCTGTATTTTCTTCAGCCACTGTTGATTGTCCTTGTAAAATCATGAGGGCATCGCAAATTATACGATTCTCTCCCATCAAGGAAGCCATTTCAGCATTAGAATGTTGTCCAAATATTTCAGGGCTATCCACGATTGGCAATGAGTCAATATAATTTCTGTACATTTGAAGATCACCATCTCTTGGAATAAAATAAGTTGACAGCGAAGATAACCTTAAAAATCATAAGCATATTTTTTACTTTATCTATTTCAATTAATGTATTTTATTTTAAGTTAAAGTTTTAAAACAAATGACTCTTTCATAAACGTTATCTAGAATTTAGATTTTATGATAAATATCATCGATATTGGTATGTTATTAATTAAAATCATGTACTCAATCATATCTTAATATTTATTGAAAATTATAGATTTTTAAATTAATTAATTGAAGAATTATCATAACAAAAAAAAAAATGTTTAATGAGTTTCAACTAATAATACCTATATACATGTAAGAAAAATAATAAAAATGATTAAATACATAATATTGGTATAGTTCTAACAATTGATAATGTATTACATAATACTTTGTTTTTTGATATTTTAAGTATGATTTTGTTGACTGTTTCTCTCATTTAAGTATACATTTTTTTAAAACTATAGTTCACCTTGAAACTATGTAGTTCCAAAGAAACCACAATAGTATTGTAGTATTGGAAAAAGTAATTAAGGAATATCTGGTGTATCTTATGTGATTGTACGCTTGGTTTTTTTAACGATTATAGATTATGATAGGGGGTTTTCGAAAAAACAAAAAAAACATGTACAAACAGCAAAGTCAACTTTATTTTTTCAAATGGTGACAACTATATTTTTGAATGGATTCTGATTTCTGGTAAACCTTTTTTTTTCTGAAAATGTTGGTAGTCTAATCATCAATTTTGGTTCACTAGCTTATTAACTATGGTCCTCTAAAGCTTAATAAATTTATTAATACTTTGAATTCAAATAAATAGTATACATTTAATTTCAAAGAGTTAAATATTTTTCTTTCTACCATCTTTTGACACAATAAGATTGGTCATCAACGAGACGTTCCTAAACAAAATCGGAATAAGTTCCTACAAAATTGTTGGCAAGCACAATTTATTATTTCAATTTAAACATACAACCTAAATTAAAACCCCAACAATTATTGTAATTTATTATAATATTCGTATTTAATTAATTACTTTATACATTTTTCATCGCAGTTACTTTTCTCACTATAGCAACAATTTGTTTTCTTCGGTACGTGGCTATGGTAATAATGGTATAATGGTATAATGGAGTTTAATTATTGATATATCTTGTTTATGGAGGTTAAAATTAATTATGTGTAACGAAAATAATATTATTTTATGCTCTTCTAGTGGTGATATAAGTTTGAAATTTGAACCATTAAATTTGCATCCCTATAATGGCATCTCGTGCAAAATATAAATTTAGAAGTTGAAAGACATCCCCTTAATTTCTTTTGGATATTAACTACTATATTTTATTTTGTAATTTTTCTATTATAAGCTTAGAATACTTACTTGTTGTTTTAAAAAAATTAACCCCAAAATCAGGACATATTTATCACCTCATGTTTTTTTTCCAGAAGAGAGACATTTTGTTAATATTAATATCGGAAATCTGTAATTATAAGTACCAACGTAATATATTGATATTGAATATTTATGTAAATATATAGTTAACTTCATAATAGTTTAACTTGGGAATTAAACAAATTTAAAAAATAATATTATGTAAGTCCTTGTCTCAGGACATGGAAATTACTAATTAGAGTGAGACCTATAACGACAGTATTGGCAGTTCAATTCTGCAAAATTGGAAAATGACAATTTGTCACTAAAAACTTTTTTTTTCACCTCCGCACATAAGACATACGTATTAATGTCGATAGTCGATCTCCATTATACCATTATCAACTTAGCCACATACCAAAGAATACAAATTTTTGTCATAGTAAGAAAAGTAACTGTGATGAAAATAATGTAAAGTAATTAGTTAAATACGATTATTATAAAAAATTACAATAATATTACTTACTTTGATGGTTGTATGTTTAAATTGAAATAATGAATTATGTTTGCCAACAACTTTATTGGCATTTATCCCAAATGAGTTATCTTGTTAGATGAACGAAACACTAAGTATCAAAATATAGTTGAGAGAAAAAATATTTATATATTTGAAATTAAATTAGTACCACTTATTTCAATTCAAAGTATAAATGTATTTACTAAACTTAAAAGTACCATATATACTGTAGTCGATGAACTAGTGAACTAAAATTGTTGATTTGATAAAAAAAATTCAGAAAAAAAAGACTTACTAGAATCCATTAAAAAATATAGTCGTTACTATTTGAAAAAATAAAGTTGATTTTGTGTTGGTACAACTGAGTGTTCAAAAATCTTGAAATTGTTATAGAAAAATTTCCTTTTAACAATGAAGAAACACGTCTTTCTTGCATTTTCGAAATCTCATATCATCGATCCATAATTGTTGAAAAAAATCCGAATACAATGACATAAGATACACCTGGTATAAATGGCTATCATTAAAGCGTTTATAATGGACCGTATTTATGTATACCAAGCAATGTTTTTAATAAATGGTATTTATTACCTAAGTATTCGTTGTAATTATAATTATTGCTATAAATAATATTAATTCAAATATATTTGGTTATACCTACAATAATATAATTAAATAAATTATTATACTTGAAATGTGGAGTATTAATTGCATCTTCATTAAAATATTGACTAATGTATGTATCTAAGAGTCTTCGGTCCATGTTATCAGTAACGTGACCCCCGTAACAAATTCCAGCAATCAAATATTTTAAAGCTTTCCAAGGGGTGTCTTCATATCCATCCAAATATATGGATAGCAAATTTTCTGACACCTATAAAATAAAATGGTAAATAATGTATAGACTATATTATTTTATTATACAAATGAGATTTATAAGTTAATAGAATATTTAAAATTTAACTCGCTATAATATTATTTACCTCAAAATCGGAATCATTAAAACTGTAAATCACATTCCACCCAAGATTTTGAAATTTTTTTCTTTCAATTAATATTGAATGAAAAAAGCAAAGAGAAAATATTAGTTTTTTGTATTTTTCTTTTGAATTGCATTTATCAAATTTTTCATCAGTTAAGTTCTGATACAAACGTTTCATATTTGCTCTTAATCCCTGAGTACATTAAATATAAAATTATTACAGTTATTGTTATTTTTAAATTTTTAGAAAACTACTTTTGGTGGTTCGGTTGTCATTTTTATAGCACTTTGTAATAGTGATATCGGAAAGTTAGGATCAGGATTTGAACTTAACCACAGCCTGAAATCCGGGTGAGATTTACCGTCTTGCATAATATCAACTATTTTATCTAACTGCGGCATCCATGATAAAGAAAGATGACAGTTGGCAAGGAATATCCATTTTCCTGTTCGTTGTCCTTCTTCAATTAAACTATTAAATAAATAGATATTATTACAAATCACTTATTAATTATAAGTGATATTACTGTGTTGCAACTAATGATTGACCTTGACCCAGAGATAGAGATTCATACAATACGTTGTTACTTGTAGCCAAACCAACTAATGTGTTAGTTGGATCTACTCCGGGAGATAATAAAAATATTAATGGGGTTTTGCAACTAGAATCTTCTAGAGCACTTTTGACATCCATAACTGGTGGTTCTATAAACTTAGGACCGAGTTTATCGGAAATAAAATTTGTTATTGCAAATGATAATCTGTCTAATCGCAAAGATCTTACGAATAACATTTTTTGAAATGAATTAGTGTTCTCATTCCATTTACCTATTGGATACATTAATAGTTTTAACTGATATATTAGTATACATTAGTTGAACAAATATTCACCAATAAGATTTATTGATTCCGGATTTGAAGACATATACCATTGTTTCCATTCTCGAGAAAACTGTTCAAATGATTTTTCTACTCCCAGAAAGCCTGGCAATTTATTTAATTCAGAAATATTATCCCAATTTGACGGTGACAACCAAGCTTTAAAATAATATAAATGTATTTATTTAATTTTAAGTTAGAATGGTTGTAGACATACATGCACAAGGGTTTTCTGCCTGTTCTACTTTATTAACTACGATACCACCCTTTAAAAGAAACTCCATTTCATACGCAGGTATTAAGTCATCAGCCATTAATAAACTTATAATTATTTGAAATGAAAATAATAATTTGTGAACTTCAAACAACCCTCTGCAAGTATTTTTATAAACCGCATATGTATGGTAAGCATTTAAATGATTTAATCTTTCAAAGAGTCTTTCATTTTTTTCACTCTTCCTTATTGAATTCTGGAATAAACTCATATATGCATCCAACGAAAATTGATACATAGGATCGATTTGATTGAGTTCATTAAGGACAAAAAATAAAATTGAGGCTCGTTTAGCACAAGTTCTGTAACCCTACAAAATAAATTAAAATTGAAATTAATTTTGTAAATCAATACAATTACAAATAATATAAACAATTAGTTATTTATTATTTATATTTATTTGAATTTAGTTTATATATAATGTTTTTAATGTAAAATATTTAATCATACCTCACGAGCAACATCAATATCAATTTGAGTCGAAAAAGAAATTTCAAGTTGTTCATTTACAGTTACTGATGTCACTTTTGAAGAAGCTAATGTTTGAAAAAGTTCATCATTTTCTAACAGTGATCCTTCAATTTCATTGAGTAGTCTAAGTAGTTCATCTTCTAGTGCAACCAGTGTCTTTTTCCCTTGATCGATGTTAATTATCAAATTATCTTTAAGTATTTTCAATTCTGGTTTTTCCATTGTGATAACAACGTCCAAAAGTTGGTCTTCAAGCCCTTCTTCTTTAATTGCAAAATTAACTACTGTTGTTCGTGTAAAAATTTCAGGAGGATAATACGGGTTTCTTATTTTAGTTGTTATAAAAAATCTAAAATTGTCATTATATGGTAACATCTTTTCTCCCATTTTAATAAAAAGCTCATTTCCTAAAAAAATTGACTGTTAGTGAATTTATTAAACTTTAAAAATAAATAAAATCTAGTACTTAGAAAAATATTAACCTTTTTCAATAATAGATTTCGATAAAACTGGCATCACTGATGGATCGAGATGTTCAGAAGTTATTTGCAACAGTGTTGGATTTCCGTTTTGTAATGACATTTCTAAAATACTCATGTAATTTGGCAAACAAAAATCAATGATTTTCAATTCATTTTCTGCTTCCATGTTTTTTATCCATTTCAATGCTTGACATTGTGGATCTATAACTAAAGGCCACCGCGAGCTACGGCTGATTATGATAGCATTTTCTGTACTTGAGTCATCGTTGGGTAAGCCATGGATATTCCAGTTTCTTATAGTAGCCGGATCAGATAAAAAATCTTTATTGTCATATGATGGATTATTTGGAATTTTCATATCTTTTACTGAATTTGTCCATAATTTCAAAAGTATATCTCTATACTTAAATAGAAATGGACCCATGTATGAAATGAATGCTATACTCAGTAAACAATCACCTGGTAAATAGTCAAAATATATATCTAATTGTTTTACAGTTTCCGTCCATCGTATTTTTTCGTCAGATAGTCCTTCGATTAATGATGCTGCTCTATCAAGATTTCTTTTCAAAGTATCAGCCTATAAATTAATTTTCAAAATACAAACATAATAATATACATTTTAATTCTAAATAAATTAACCTTTTTAACTAGTTGCTCCTTTTCTTCCATTTTTATATCAAAATCAATTTTTAATTTCAATAACAGCTTTTGAATTTGTGATAATTTCAGCTGAGCAGTAAGTAGTTCAGCTTCCTTTTCATTAAGATCGGCCAATGCTGCTTCTGCAAATTCTTTTTTGGGAGCTACAATTCTATTAGACGAAACAATGTTGTAACAACATATTTATGCAGATACCATAAGTACATAATATTCTTTGACGTACTTGTAAATTATTGCATATTTTTCTATTGCGATGACCCACTGAGCAAGTGATTTAGCAGCCACTGATTGAGCTCCTACTTTATCAGGTTCAAACTCTGGATTTGATGTAAATGCATTTATTTTTCTTAATACTTTTTGTGACACATGATCTTTGTCAAAATCTTTTAGCTAAAAGTTTCATTTAGTATTATTTATTTAATCAACTTATATCATTAACATGAAATTAACCTGCGTTAGAAAATTTGGATCTCCTAACTGTCTTTTGGCTTCAGTCCAACTAGGTTCAGATTCTTTTAATATCATCACAGCTTCTAACACTAGTTTAACTCTATGCGGGGGTTTTGAAAAAGATTTTACTTCAGCAAGATCTTTTTTATTGAGTGCATTTAAAGCCTAAATAATAGACAATGATTACATTAATCGTATGTTATTTTTATATAATTATTCACCTCCATAGCTTCCTCTAGTGCAGGTAATGCTTTTTCTAAATCAATCATAGCCAATCTATACAACTCTTTACACACAATTTCTTCTTCTTTGATTTTAATACTTTTCTCATCAACTTCAGTTTTTTGTTGGTCAGCTATTGAGGTTTGCTTTAAAATAACTTCAAGAAATTGATCACACTCGACGGTATATGCCTGAACAATTTTAGTTGCTTTTTCTAAATCTACTGTCATTCCAGCTACTTTTGCACTGGTGTCATCTATTTTATACAAGCCGTTTCTTAATTTATTCGATTTGTTTGCAAGCTCGATTCGTTTATTACGTAATGTTCTATTTGAAATAACCAAATCAATAAATATATAGAATATTTATATGTTTTTTTTTAATACTCTTTATATCCAGTTACTAGTTCTAAATAATTTGTCGGTGTAACGTAATTGTATCTCTTTAATTCTAAAATCATCAGTCTGGAACATTCTCCTACTGAGTGGTGAATAACAGCAAATAAATTTGCAATGCATAGTTTTAGCTCACTCTATGAAATAAAAATGTATAGTAAATAAATCATCAATGTAGTATTTGGTTTGCTGTAAATTACCTCTGATAAAGAAACTGTATCTACATCAAATACCTGCAAAATAAATGTTTATAAAAGATGTTAATAGTTGAAAAATTAACAAAAGGTATTTATAAGCACAACATAATATGTTAAACCAAAAATTTGCAATTCGAATCTTAATTTTGTTAATTTATGTCGTTTGTGATTTGGGGTAAATGTGTGGAACATTTTCCCACCAACTAGTTATGTTCACTGAACACAAGAGAAAACTGTTACCCCTTTTTCCTTGTCTACATTTCAGAAAGTATATAGATACCTTATATGTATCTGCATATGGATTAGCTGTATAAAGCTTATAAAATTAAACATAGAGCACATAAGCGACTTTTTAAATAATTTGTAAAATTTTTATGTTTTTAATAATATGTCATAATACAAATAAATGTCAAATAAATTTTCATTCCTACCACAATGAACATAGAAACGTTTTTTTTATACCGTTAAATTCGTTTAATTTTTCTGCATTTTTCGGTGTAATCACTAATGAGATAACGTGCGTATTTCGTTTTGTAGATAAAGGAACGTAATAGTACGTCCGTAGCAGGGAACGGTATGTTTGCGTGCGACGTAATAATACGTCCGTAGCAGTGAAAAGGTTAACCAATTACATTTATGAATTTTTATAATATTAATAAAATTATAGAAAATAACGAGAATTGTGGAGCTTTCCAAACAATTTTAATCATCCACAATAATATAATTAATAGATAACATTATGTTAACTATGCATCCAATATTTTGAGTTTACCTAAATACTTGGGTGAAATTAGATAATTATAAAATAAATTAACTTAATATTTTTTAAGACTTCTAATGATATTGTAGAATAAATAAATTATAAATTAAAGTATACTTATTATAATTATCCTATATATAATAATAGTTGTAATTGTATTTTGAATTATTATAATAAAACAGGGAAGTCATTCTGATATAAATGCATTGGGTGTAACTTGTCATTGAGTATGCCTCCATTTGTAATTTAATGTTAAACCATTGTATACGAAAAACTATACTAATTAGAGAAGGTATCTAATAAATATTGTAGCTTAAATTTCTTAAAATATTTGATTGTATGTTTATATTATTAATATAAAAGTATTGCTTATTGACAAGTTTTTGGGAAAAACAAATTTCATAAATAAGAAAAAAATCGTGCGAGTTGCAATGATACTAGAGGATGAAGTGAAACTACTTTACAAAGGTTATGAAAAAAAAGTTCATCACTGTCAAATATCAAGTTTGTAATGAAAAAATGAAAATAATAATATTTTCAATTGAAATTCATTTATTATAATTATACAAAGATAAGTCAAATTAATTAGTATTTATTACCATAGAAACTTTAGAATTCAAATAAACTACCTGGTTGTTCCGACTGTCTTCCAGTTTTTTTATATTTAAGTATAATATATTATAGAGTACTTCTATCTTTATATGACGGGTTGTACGATACATTCAATGAATCAATAAAGAGTTAAGGGTCTCTAAAACAAGATTTAGCTGCCCATGATTGGTGCATTACATTTTAATGAACCAATAAGTGTAATCATTTTTTTATGCAACATGGCATTAGAGTTAGATAGTGATAAGAAGACAGTGAAGTTTTTCGTCGGCCGGCCAGTTCACCCAGTTCATTGGCTCCAGAATATTTAGGATGAACACGACGACCGGCTGTCTAAATCTGATCATCTGATTCAAAAATTGTCGAGTAACGCTTTTTGGACTCAACGGCTGAGCCCATGAATACAATTTATGCTGCAACGCTTATAAAGAAGGTTGCTCATTTCAAAAACATAATAATATATTAAGACTATAATTTAGTAATACCTTCGTACTGGTAAACTGTGTATTATGGTCGTCGTATAAATAGTTTAATAAATTATCAGTTACAAACAGATAATGGATTGTTTAATATGTTTAAAATTGTATTATGTTCAGTAAATAATAATTAGAGCAATGAATAAAGTTAACTATGAATAATATTTTTTAAATTAGTCACAATGTTTTTTTTTTGTCAATTACGGTTATTTTTATAAATACACAGAACTATAGAAGTAATCTTTACTTTTGATTTCTGAAAAAAAAATTGACTGGTTTTAAGCTATCCATAGTAATTTGATATTTTAAGTTGTATTATTGGAGGTTGAAGTATACACAATTTGTAAATATACAAATTAAGTTATTAATCTTTAACAGTTAGGACATAGCCCATAGATGTACATTGTATGTTTTCTTGCGTATTCATGGAATAATGAATTTAAAAAAAAATTTGGAACAATCATATTATCCAACATTTATAAATCTATATGCAACAAAAAGAAATACAATTTTTTATTTGTATTGTATACAAATATTTTTTATATGTTTTCCTAATGCAATATATATTATAATTATTAGTTTTTTATTATATGTATAGTATAAGTTAACTTATTAAAATTGATATTATATTAATCAATGTTTATCGTATTAGATATGATTATTTCATGTATTACATTGTTTTTTTTATTCATTTTTTTTTTTAGTCCTTCTAATATTAATTTTTTATCATACTAATGTAATTAACCTAAGTTCATTGAGGCATCTAGCTAATAGTTACATATATCTGTTTTAATTATTTAATAAAAAGCATTATACATAACTGTTATGATAATTGACGTTGTAAAATATAAAAACTGTATAATCTATTGAGAAAATTATAAAATTTTTGGTTTTTTCAACACAATGTATCCTATTCTTAATCAATATTATCTATAAAAGGATAATAAAAAGGTATTTTGTATTTTTAAACTTTTAATCTTACTCTTGGTGCGCCAGTTATAGTTTCCAAGATTTCTATTGTAGTAAGAGAGCTATATGCCACCTCCAGTAAAGCTTCTTTAGGCCAATCCAAAAACCAATCGATTGTAGTACAATTTATCAATGAAGGATATTGACGCAAACGCGTTCTAATTAAAAAAAAAAAATAAATAAAAAAAAAAAAAATAACATCAGTAAAATTATTTAATTGTAAACTATGTATACCAGGTTAATTTATCTGTACAAATATTTTTAATTTTTTCGTAATATCGAATAAATGAGAATGTTTTCTACCGATATGTAATATAATTATAATATGGTTGGTTTTCGGTCACTGTTTATAACCTAATATAAAAAATGCAAGGAGGTGATCATTTTTATGTTCGATATTGTCTTAGCAGGCCTTACAGAAATAAGAAAGTGTTGGCACACGGTATGGCGAAAACTAACATTGAAGATTGTGAATAATTTGGACTTATATAATATATAATAAGCAAGCGATATTAAGTTAAATTAGTGAATTACAAACAATTTTTAAAATCTCATTAATCAAGAAATAAACGTATAATACTATGTATATTGTATATAGAAATAATATAAGACGTAGTTTAAAATTATTTACATATTACCTATATAATATATATAAATTATATTTAAGTAAAATTCAGTAAGTTGAAAGTGCTACAGACGATGTTATCCCAGTACATGTAACTATCGAACATTTTTAACATAGCTTAGTCTCACTTGCAGAAGTTCTGCAATGGAAAACTGAAAACTGAAAAACTGAAATGAACCCCAGCAAAAAGCAAAGATCGCATTTGCAAAATATAATTTTTGTTTAAGATAAAGTGATTAAGTTTTGGCATTTATGTTTTTACCCGACCATCCAATAAGTTCAAGTTTTCCATTTATAAAAAAAAAAAAACAGTAGGTACCTACAAAGTTACTGCTCATCCGTTTATACACATATATTAGCTTCACAGTTGTTTTTTTTTGTATTTTGAATAAATCAATAAGTAAATCAGACTTACCGAAATTTGGCTCCAATCGGACTAAGGCATAGAATAATGTGTAGATTGTTTCTGACGCGATCTAAGAAAAATGAATAAATGTCATCTGTTGTTTCCGGAATACCTTCTTTTTTAGCAGCGGGAGATAATTGCTCTTTTATCTAAAAATATCAATACAAATTCGCAATTAAATTTTTCAACACTAATAACTAATAAGGTATTCTAACCTCGTCAAACTCTTCCTCCTTGTACAGTTGTGGTACTTCACCAGTACTTAATATGTTATTTATGGTCTCCAAAAACGTTTCATTGACAATTTGGGTGTCACTAAACAAAAACGACGTTTGTTGATCCCTCACTCCTGTTTGATAGTACAGGCGTTTTAAGTCTTCTTTGAAATCTGCTATTCCATACGATTTATTCAATTCTATTGTAAACATGTTGTATTCACATAGCCAGTTAGCAACCTTCGAAAGTGAGGACCGTCCAGATCCACCTATCAAAACAATTATTACTCATTATTAAAGCAGAACAATAATGATGAGTTATGAACACTATACCAATGCCGACCAGCATTATATAGCCTCTTGGTTGGGATATAACTCTGACAATGCGACATACATGGTCGATGGCGTCCCTAAATAATACGAGGTTAATTGGTATAACTCCAAAGCTTAAATTGTATTCTTTTATGCTATCGTCGACAAATTCACGTAGATATTTTTCGTCGGTAACTTCTTCGTACTGTGAATGTTTGTTCAAAAAATGACAGAATATTAGACCTTGTTCTGATGAGCATAGACTTCGATAAGTCACATCGTAATGTTTTCCCAGTTGAACATTCATTTGCTCCATGAACCATTCTCGATCTCTGTTACGTGGAAATCAGAATTTATGAAGTTATAAAATATACATTACTATACATTTTATCACAGGAAGCTTGAATGGTTTACTTTTCATCGATTAATTTGTCGTTAAATACGCGGAACACCTCATTACACCAAAGCCGCAACATTGCATTGTCAGTTGTCTGGTAATCAGTATTACTGCGCAACAGGCCTTGAAATACCTAAAAATGTAATTAACTGTCAGGAGATGGAATTGTGCACTTGACAATGTGTCGAGAAAATGTAATTTATTATATAAAGTCTTATCAGGCATGACTAAATCTTCAGCATATTTTAAATTTTGAAATCAAGTTCATAACTACAGAAACGCGTGTAATGTATATTACTATACGATGAATGACGCACTTTAGATATATCCCTTAAATTGAATAAATAGTGCATTTTGGCAGGTGTTGGCAGCAAGTTAGCTACTATGCTTTTGTAAAGGTTAATTGTCATGTTAGTTAATCCATTTCCTGCAACAGGTGAAAAATGTGTTAATACAATATCCACACAGTGTTATATATCTTAATATCCTCATCATACTTAAGTTGCGTATATGTTCTACAAATGATTTCAGATGTTGACTTAACATTGACACATAAATATTTGATATTTGAGCTTCTTCGGGAAATGTCAAGTTTATCACGCTAAAGCAACTCAACAGCCTGTTACTAATGGAGCTCCTGCCACTTCCGGGTGGCCCCATGGCACCAATCAACAGCATATTCTTTACGTACTTCAGTAACCTAGTCTGTCGGTCAAACCAAAACTCGTAGTCTATCCACTGTCGAATCAATTCTAGTGGTGCCTGAGCACCATAAATTTCTTTTTCAGGCATATTCATGTCATCCAAAAATGTCACCAACGTTTTATCTACACATGAAAATGAATAAAGAAAATAAAGAACATATTTTTAAAAATTGATGTGCATTTTAACATGCAACCCTTATACGTATTACTTATAGTTATCATTAAACTTTTTTAATTTGTATTAAGTTTATTCAATATTTTATCATAAGTTTATACTTGATAGAGGAACGTAAGTATCCTTTGTACGTTTTTCCAATCTTCCTTCAATAGTTTCTTGGACATTATGCACTGTAGTTTGTGCTGACATATTAATTGTTATACATAAAAATTTATTTTTATCCAAAACTTCCAGTGCTTTTTGAACGGTCAACGTTTTGCCAGTGCCAACTGGACCAACCAATAATACGGGCCGCTTTTTACTTAAAAATGCTTCTACAAGATAGTTGTAACGAACAGTGTCAATTGTGGGTACGATAATTTTGAAAAAAGGTAACCTGAAAATGAAATAATTAACCAGATGCATACTATAAATGATATGATGTATACTCTGTTTTGTATATCCAAGAACTATCTCGCAAAAAGTTATCCCAGTGATAAAACTGTGCAGTTTTTGTATCAACATAATAGTGATAAACTGTATCGCTTACTGGAAATACTACTTCTTTTTCTCTAAAGAAAGTGTCAATTTTCTTACGGCCGTCTTCATTAACTGCTGCACAAATTGACCAAACCACACTAGAAAATTATTTTTCTTCTGTATTGTAATGATTTTAATTAATCGTACCAGTTTTTACCAAAAAAGAAACCATAGCTTAATTAGGTGATCGTAATCATCGGAATTTAATCCGGTGGGCATATTAATAGCTAAATCATTAAATGTAAAACATTCCAGCAATGTGCATAACGTAACAATAGAACTCAATTCGGGTAAAGGAACAGTTTCAACGCAGTTCAACTTTTTAAATTCTAGCACAGCAGTTACATATTTCTCAAAATTTTTTACTATCTAAAAATATTAATTGCTTAGTTAATTATTGTGTATGTCTATAACAATGGTTCACTAGATACTGACATTAATCTTGTATGGTTGAAATTCACAGTTGTTCAACCATGACTTGTAATACAATTTCCAACCAAAATCTTTATAATCATTGTACACGATTCCACATCTAGAAACAGTTGCGGGAGATGCAGCAGCTAAGTCTTCAACTTCAAAAAGGAGGGATACCTAATTTAATAGTCAGTATCGCAAGTCCCCCCAATATATTTTCTACAATTTGTATCGTATAAAGATATTACAATCGTTTTACCTGTTCAGGCATTGTAATTCGCTCGCTATTTATAAGCGTTAAGACTTTGTTGTCATCCATAACTGAATTCATATTTTCTATCCAAAGTGCATCGACTGGGCCATCGAAAAGTATCCATTTTTGATTCATTTGAATATCTAAATATTTGTTTGAAAAAAAATATATATATACTAGGAACGCATAATTTGATGACATGAAAAAACTTTTAAGGTTCAAAATAATGTTTTTTTTTTCATGTACGAAATAAAATTTGTTATAGACAATTCAACTATTAATATCAAACTACATATTTTTTTTAATGTTGGCAACCTGAACAAACTAAGCGCATCAAAGATGACAATACACCATCCTTCCATTCTTGAGTTGAAGCATTATATTCTCCATACAGCTCACCCAGAGTAAGTGCCTTTGGATTTAAAGGATATTCCTGTAAACAATTTAAATAATGTACACAAACACAAATATATACAATTATGCAAATAGGAATCTTAAATGCTGAAAATTGACTCAAAATATTTTTACTTATCATCGGATATACAATTATTTTTTAATTTAATAGTTTATTATGATATTTACCTAAAGTTAATTTAAATTAGTATTTTTTAAATATTTATAATTGTATAAGGTCTTTAAAAATTTTACTACTAACATTATGATTATATTATTGTGTATCATAAGTGTAACCTTAAGATGCGACCGGTAGTAGTCCGGCAGAGTAAAATTTTAGAAATCTTTCGTTGCCGATGGCCGTGCAAAAAATCGCATTAGCGAGTTCATCCTAATAAAATGCTAACTAGATGGTTGTTGAAATGATAATGTGAAGCTTTTGAGTTCTGAGGTTTCATTACATGATGCAGAGTATATAAAATATAGTAAGCTCATATTAAGTGAATTTTTAACATGTTTTATTTCCATTCTATTTTAAATATAAACGTTAGACTTACAGTAACTGTTTCAAATAATTCAACCTTTTCAGAGTTTAATAATGCCATTGTTTCTTTTAGAGTTTCCCATGTAGAAGTTTTTGCGGCTCCAGTGTGCCCCAATAGCATAACAGAATGCCTAGAAATTTTGGTTTCGTACAACTGAATAATTTTTGCAATGGCAGATTCTGATGGTTGGTGGTTTTTATTTGCCATGCATTGCTTTATTGCACGAATAAGTATGTCATTTTTTACTTCTGGTAGAGTGATAGTGGGAAATAAATCTTTCGCGATGCCCAAAAATATTGGAAGATCATCTACTGTAAGTTTTGCTAAATTCATGTTATGCATTGCCAATAATAGTACCTAATTTAATATTTTATCATTATAATTAGCAACAAGTTAATTCATTTATCTATTGAAGATTACACAAAAGTGATTCATACCTCATCATCTAACATATGTGGATTTTGTCGTCTACATTGCCCAGCATACCTTATTAATGAAACCAAACCTCTAAGTCCAAATTCATAATGATCTTGTTTGCTAAGTTTTTGTTTACACAACACGAACAAAACAAACACTTTATTGGCTAAAACTCGGGTTTCTCTAAAACCTTCTCCAAATAACATAATCTCAGCAATGAGTTTGCTATCAGGAACCATCATGGATATGGCACGGAACATTGACTTTAAATTGTCAGGTAGTTCTGTCCTACCAGCGTATCCAGGATTCATTGTTATAAAAATACCACATGTAGGTATAAGGTTTATTATCGAGCCCTCGAACATAAATTTATCTTTTTGAGCTGCAAGAGCAGAATATATTGACAGTATTTGTTGTGCTACGACTGACAATACTTCAATGTTTATACGATTAAATTCGTCAAAACAACCCCAAGCGCCTTGTTGTGAAAGCCCTGTTAATAACAGAAATAAAATAAGGAATACAAATTAAGGTAGTGGTAGAATACAAGTAAACTTTGTATAAATTTACCAGAAAACATACGTCCCATGCTCTTATAATCCAAGCCATCAGAGCAGTTTATGACAATGACATAATAAGCTAAATTCTTCCCTAAATCTTTTACAGTTTCAGTTTTTCCTGTACCCGCAGGTCCTTTTGGACTACCGCCACGAAACAAATTTAGTGCGGTAGTCATTGTGATGTAACATCTATCGGTCAATGGTGTGATGACTAATCTTCCAGAATTTCCTAAATACTCATAACCATAAGGCTGATTAGTATTTGTTTGTCGTATGGTCAGTTCACCTTCTTTTTTATTCCAATAAAACCGTAACTGTGACATCCATTCAAAGTCGGTCACATTCATACATCCTAAATATGATTAATATAATTAACTGTTTAATTTTAGATTCATATAATACATTTTACATACTCGAATTATACATATGATCGACCACATCTCTAGCATGTATTTCTATAGTTACCAATGAAACGATTTTTAATCGATCTATTTTTGATAAGTCTCCTCGAATAGCATCAGAAAACTTTAATAACATTTTTTTCTGTCGTTTTCGGAGTTTTTTTAATGGCTTACTATTCCCAGCATGATTGGATTGTAACAACGCCATTGTACATTGAGCTGTCCATTGAATCTTAACATAATAATAATTTAATTCATTAAGCATTTGAAAAATAAGTGTATAATACATACTTGAGACGCTGTAATACATAACTGTCCTGGCCATTTTAATATCCATTTATCACGAGTTTTAAGGTTTTTCTTCAACGCCTCCAAAACATGTACTAACTTATATTTAAGTGATTCTCGCATTACCGCTTCTATATAAGAAACACGTAATTATAATTGTGACAGAATTGAAATCAGTTTAAGAAAATTACCAATAGAGCTCATCCAATGTTCTACAGGTCCATTACACTTGACTCTACTTGTGAAAACTACGTATTCTCCGTCAGCCGAATACATTCCTACGGCTGATGTGTCATTATCCTTTGAGTCAAATTTATAATATTACAATAGTTCATAAATATGAAAAAATTAAAACTAATATTTTAATTACTGAGAGTTCTAATTTGTTAATATTGTCAAAACATTTTTTAAAATGTGGCTGTAAGCGTTTTGGATTATTTGAATGTACTAGTATATCTAATAAGTCATCGTTGGATATAAAATAAAACCGAGGAAAGATGTTTCGCTTTGTCTCCATGTATAATTCAAGTGCTCTCTGGGTTGCATCTAATCGTGCTCTCATAGCTTGCAATTGTCTTAATAGAGCTATATATAAATTACATAATTTCAATAATAAACACTTCTAAATTTCAATTTTTACTGAATGAATATAAGATATACGTTTTGAACGAGTCGCCTTGAACAGATTCTTGTCTGTAAACATTTTAGATGTTATCTTTTTCCACTCTTTTGCTAATAAATCAAATTCGTCGGCTTCCTTTGGAATTTGAATACGAATATCCTCTCCTTTAAATATGTTCTAAGATGGTAGAAATAATTAAATACATCAACGTTCACCTAAGTTATTAAACATTGCTCATATACCATTGCATACAGAAGTTGCCTTTGAACAGAAAGTGTTATTTCTAGAACATCTGTGACGAGGGAAATACCTTTTGACCAATGATCAGCATCTTTGAAAAATATAGAAATATATCTATAAAAAAAAAATATTTGTTGATAAAAAAATATCAATAAGTATTGGATAATTATTTACTTTGATCCTTTCATAGAATATAATTGTACTAAATGTTCTTCTAACAATTGTAATGTATCATCGGCCACTGAAATACGATAAATATCTTCATCACTATAATATTTTATATTTAACTCCATGTTAATCCATGTATCTGCTATTGATTTTATTGCCTGAGTGGAAACATAAATAATTAATTAATTGAATATTAATTATTGTTTTATATCGAATATTGAATGACTTTTACGTTTTCTATATTAAGTTCCATTGTTGCTTTATTTGAAATATCACTTATTTGATTTCCGTATTTCTGCATTTGCATTTGCATTATTAGTTCCAAAGTGAAACCGGGATCAGCTTCATCAAAATATCTATTGAAATTCAATCAATTTTTAAATTTGGTTAATTACTACAGCTTAATACTATTTTCATAATATCTCAACGTTTACTTACTTAGTCATCGCTTCTCGTACTTCATCCCAGTGCCGGTTACGCATTGCTGGATTTTTCAAGTCACTAATAAGTGGTAAAACACGCCTAAAAGCGTCCAAACTATCACGTTTGATTTCTAGCATTTTCCAACTTTCATCTTTTAACAATTTCAATGACGAATTTAACATTTTGTAAATGTTTTGTACAGTAACTTCTATTTCAGATACTTTGATCTCCCAGAAGTTTGCAGATTTATATTTATTCCACGTATTGTCCCAATTATAAGCAATTGTAAAAGTTTGACGCAAGAAAATCATTTCCTAAGAGCAATTCATGTAATTTATTATATTTAATTTTTTAACAAATCTTCAAATGCCTAGCATTATGGAATACATTCTAATAGCTTTCAAGATTATTTTTCTTGCACAGGATTTTATCCTACCATCCATATATTTTAATTAAACCGTTTAAATACACTTTTAAAATAAAATAAAGTTGATGTATAATATTTTAATGACTTCTAAATTATCATTTTATAAATAACTTCGAGAGGTTATAGATTGCAAATATTAAATTAAATTAAAATTAATTATTGAAAGTTATTTTATATTTAGTATTTATCTTACTTTTTTAATATTAAGTTGTGGTGGCTTCACATATTTTAAATTAAATATTGCAAGATTATATTTCAATTGCTTTTCTTCGGCTTTTAATTGTTGATACTTGTCTTCCATTTTAGACATGTAATCCAAAGCAGCTGTAATGTAATATACTATTAATAAATATTTATTATTACATTTGAGTTTATTTAGTCCAAATATCAGCTATTTGAATGTGCAATAATATACTTTTAAAAAATACTAGAGAAGTTGCTATGCTGTATATGAGGTATCCAGTTTACCTCGGCATTGAGAAAGAGCCTAAGTGGATATTAAACTGTGTACACAAAATAACTAGACACCTATAGAAATAAAAATGTATTTCTCAAAATTTTCATATTTTGATTTGCAACACTTATTTTTTGCGGGAAAGTGAATTTTTTGAATAATATATCAAAGAAATCGGAAATTGGAAATGAACTGAAGACCAACAAAAAAAATCAAAATATTACAATGTCTAGAAGATGTTTACACAAAGTTTTTTTGAAACATTTTGATGTCCCCCCTTGAGTTGAACATCCAAACATTAGTTCTACTAGATATATAATGTTAAAAGTTAAAACAATTATTGTAAAATAAATTCATTCATCACTCTACTCAGAATCTCAAACAAAGTATGCCGCAGTTAAAAATGTATTTGTGCAAACTTTATCCATTTATAGATATCAATATTATGAACTATGATTGAATATGAGGTTGACGTATGTATGAAAAATAATATGAAAAGAAACGGTTTTTGAGGTGATTGCTTTTACGAACCATACGAGGTCAACTCTACATTCTTAGATTCGGTTTCTTTAAATTCTTCCCAAATTTTCTTAAAGTCTTCAATATTTTGTCTAAAGATTTCTTGATCATGTAACACCATTTCATGGAATTCATCTTGTTTCTCTTTTAACATTAACTCCGCCTCGCTCAATAAGATTGTATAATTATTCCACGAATTGTGTAAATCATTGTATAAGCTGCGTAATGCATCTGACATTTGTATTTCGTGTTTGTCTATAAAGTATAAGTAAAACTCAGACTACAAAATGTAATGTATATTATATATTGTATATACCAAATCTTATCGAAAACTTACCTAAAACAATAACATTTTCTGTAATCAAATTTATCTCTTCTTTTTTTGCACTACACTCTAAATCAATTTTTTTTTTGTATTCAATAAATTTAACCATTTCATCCAGGTTTGATGGTGGTAACATTACACTGTAATAATATTTAAAGCATGCATTTCATATTACTTTGATTTACATTGTATATTAAAGTTTTATTTAAGACTTACCGTTCACCATTCATTTCAATGTATTCATAAAATCCTTCGATAAGATCGACTGTTTCACCTAAAAGTAGCTGGGAATAATTGAAAATCCAATCTTGACAGTGTCTTATTACTTGCTTTATCATATCAGTGATTTTTATAATAATACAAGATACTATCGATTCGGTCTCCATATCATTTAACACATTTATATAATTTTGGTACCTAACAAAACAATTTAAGAAAAATTATCATTTGCAATTTGTAAAAATTACATGTGATTTGTCATACAACATAATTTTGTCATCAATAGAATCCGCATTATGTGGTGATGACTGAAATTTAATTAATTGCTCTCGTTTGTCCAAAGTCCAAATATCACTGAACTTTATTAAGGTTTTCATATAAGTATTTATACTTAATAATATATCCTTCGTTGCTTAATAAGACAAAAGAATAAATATTAGGAAATCAATTTAACTGGTTTCACTAACATTTAAACATTTAAATATACAGCAATGTAAAAAACTGAATTAAAAAATATAATTTAAAAAATACTCTAAATCAGCTTTATAACAGTTAATAGTTAATAGTTAATAAGTACTATAGTAAAATTATTGTATATTTAAATGTAACAATTAGATAATACCACCAAATGTTACGAGTTTACGACATTAAAGGGTGTCATAGATTAAAACCGTAGTTTGGCCTCTCTGATCAAAGAATAAATGTAATTTCTGGTTTATACATACTAAAATCGATCTCCGTTTGCAGATCAGAGCACACTCGGTCGTGGGCGATCGCATAGCTGTATGGCATCAAATTGAGGTTTGTCATTTTAAATGTGTGACACAACCTAGGTATGACTTTTAATGCTGTAGCCATATCCAAAAGTAGCTTCATAGAATATACCACTAATTGTATTAAACTTGGATTGTATATAATCTGCCAACAATCAAATGGATTGAATGGTTGTGATCAAAAATATTATAACAACAATAAATATTCCGTCAATCTTACTTTACTGCCATGTAAACTGACATTAATCAAAAACACTGTATCATTTCGTTGTGCTAAAGTGTTTTTCATAGACCATCTTACATTGAGAACTAACGATTCATGTATGAGAATATCAATTTTGACTAGGTAGTGTTCCCAAAACGACATCATCTATTTAAATTAATGTTTTTTAAATAATGTAATATTTTATACTTATAGTTTTGACATGTAATCAATTTAAATATTTTTATTTTATATTTTATCTTCTCTGTAAATAGCTAAAAATCGAATACAATATTTTGCCACAACTGTACATACACGCCTAATGTTTTTTTCAAATCCTTCGTATACAACAGTCACGTATTTGATAATTTCATTATAATAGCCGATAATTTTTATAACCGAATTCCTATTACTGTTGAAAGAAAAATCGTATTAAATTTTTTGTATTTTATACTATAGGCATTTTTTTTAAAATTTGAAATCAAACCTGTAATGATCCGTACTATGGTTCAAACCTTTTATCTTTATAAGTTCAAGTTCATTGCCAAATAACGGCGTATTGGATATTTGTAGACATATTTCCAATATTTCAGAATTGCATTGCTTATAGCAATTTTCGATGTCTTGGACCTAACCGTTGTGTTTAATGATTTAATAAGAAATTTATTTTTTGAAAAAAACTTTTTTTATCGACGTTACTCAAATACGACTTAACTGATTCCAATTGTTCACAACACCTGGGAATATATTTGTTAACATTGTCCGATTGAGCCCAAGTATATTTAAAAGCCAACGGATCTATTGTCTTGACGCATGCATGTATTGTTTCATAAAACAGTTGTACTTCTTGTTTGGATAAGCCTGTGTGAAACACGTACAATTCTTACATTAATCTACCATAGACAATATTATCAATCACAATGATAAAAAAAGTACCTGCAATAATGTAATTGTAGTTCTTGAGAACCATTTTCGTATTTTTATATACATTTCTTATTTTTCGAGCCATTTTGGTAAATTCTAAGTACTCGTATGGCATTCCTACTTTGATTAACTTCCAGCAAATTATTTCCGTAGTCAAATCATAGACGGAACTTTACAGGAAAACGAAATAATTTGTACATTTTAAAAGTATGGCAATTCATTAAAATACTTATATAATAGATACCTTTTTAAATCTAAAGTATATTTAAAACTACGATTTGTCAATTGATGTTTTACAAAAATATGGTTTTCCAGTTGATTTTCAATTTCTGGATCAATTTGATTCCACCAGGCTCTAAATGAATTCTTAAGCATTCGTTGATAAAGATCTGTGAAAGAATTATACGCCTCCCGTAATTGTTTAGTGAGGGTACATGTCAATAACCAAGGCCGGTTGAAGATGGCCTATTTTAAGACAACCACATCGTATTAGACAGTGTTTGAAATATTGTTTTTAAAATTTATTTAAAAATATTTATCTAATACCATTTCGGCTAATTAATTAATTTAAGATAATAATATTAACTATTAAGTATATAAATTTACATTTTTTATTGTTGTTATATTGTTGTACTGGATGACGGCCATCATACAGATACCTGAGTATTTTGGCATATAATAAGATATCCAATACTTATTGTTGTGAAACATTTCCATCACCGACGCAATATAGTCCATTATAAATGTATATACTATTCTGGTTTTTATACGAAAATAATACTTAAGTGGTGGCCATTCGATGAAATATCGTAATCCCTGTAATATTTTTATACAGTCTATTTCATTGCACGCTGTTTTCAACGCCATGTCAGTTAGCTGTTCGATTTTTAAACATAATTGTTTGATTTCATTCTGAAATCTATAGTTAAACAATTATTAATACTTCAATTGTTCGTTCTATTTTAGTAAAATATATCAAAGTTCATTTTTTGAATGATTTATTTTTGTTAGAAGCTTTTTTATACTGTGTGTAATAATACAACAGTAACATACAAAAAAAAAATAATAATAATAATACAATACAATTAGATCGATACTTATCTAATGCAAAATATAGTTCAACTTCTCGTCGGCAATTTATAAGTAATTATAAACTATAGTTACCAACCATTAAAATAGTTTAATGTGATTTTTGTTATATTTAGCATACGTATAATTTATCAATCGTTCATTACTTCTTGATATGGTAAGCCCAATCATTGTCAAGCACGTTGAATATGTGTATTAGAGGATTTTTCAAGTCTTGGAGAATAACATCGTAATAACGTTCATTGTCATCCACATACATCACGAAATAATCTCCAGGGGTGAATGAAAAATTTGGTTTCGCTACATCAATATCGTATACGTTTAACCTGGTAAAATGTTGTTAACATTAGTCTCTAAGTAACCTCTACCACATTATCATATAGTAATACAAAGTTGATACCTTTTAAATACTATTTTTGATTTCGAAATATATTTCAAATCTTTGCAGCGTTCAATAAATTTGTACACATTTTTTGCTTTCACCCATAAGTGTTCTTTATCTTGACTATTATAAATTTTTATCACCTAGGCACACATATAAAAAAAAACCCATTATCTCGAAACTATCGGTTGTAAGTAAATAAACTGTTACTTCAGAATATATAGATAAAAAATGTTCACAACACAGTAAACATTTGTAAAGGAAATCCATCAACATCTTTATGTCACAGTCAAGTATAGTGACAGTGTCTATGGTTTTTCGGCATAAAAATATTATTTGACTACACAGACAACTGCACAAATAGTCAAAATTATGTCTAAAATAGATCAAAGGTTTATCAAATTAATGTATAAATAATACATATAAAGTATTTGTTAGGACAATTAGCGCAAAATGTGCCTTACACATTATTGTAGTAAAGAGATTCTTCATATATGAAAATAAACTTTAAAAACAAATCCGGTAATATGGGTATGATGTCGAACAGAGATTCTATATTGTACATATCCACGGATGTATCTCTAAGGATCTGTAAGTAATCCAGGTTAGATCTCGTTTCGGCTAATGATTTCTGTAACATTCACAAATATAAAAATGTTTGTAAAAGATTCGACATGTAGTATAGTATTTAGATGTATAGTATTTCAACAGAATAACGTATATAATAATACTATACAGTGTATTGTAAATTGTTAGTGTGTGACAAGATAAATGTGAAGAAAATAACCCAGCCAGAAAAATAAATATTGCAAATGAGGATATAAAAAAACAAACTTTTTATTATTTTAAGAAAATTTGTAGCACATTTTTACAGTTTTTAATAAATCGCATTCCATATTAAAGATGATTCCAAATTAAAATATTTATTATACGACTTGCTAATTATTTTGATAATGAAGCGAACCTTAAGATACTAATATTAAGTAAACAATTTTTATGGTGCACCTATTTAATATATTTTATCGTGGACCATAAATCATTATGAAGGTTTATAACTTAAAAGAGACAACAATGATATTAAATAATACCTACGGGCATGAATGCATGATAATAGTTGTAAAATGTTACACACATAAGATCGCCATGATCAACAAACACACTCCCAGTCCTCTGTCATTGTTAATATGGGAATAATCAAAATCATATTATGTCCACGGTCCGACTTGTCGATAAAAATTGGATTGATGTGATGTGAGAAATAGTTTGTCGGTTCTTATTTCTATACCATAGGAACGACGAAATATTTCGAAAAATTTCAATATACCCGAAGCGCGAGAACTAGATTTATTGAATTCCACTGTTCAAGTGAGCGATATTACGATACATATTTTACGCAAAGTAATATATTTTATAGGCACCTTCTACTACACACAGTTTCATAAAATACACCAGTTACCTCGGCCGCACAATATGACGTTAAACGGAGTACGAAAATTGCACCTTATATTATCCGGGCACAGTGTTGTATTAACACGTAAAGATCTGCTTATAAATGCACCTCAACGGTTTGTTGCCTACCCAGGCAGAATGATGCATGTCAAACATAATATTTATAACGTCATTATTGTAATATTATTTCAACGCCAGTTGGTTATTCGTTAGCATTATTTACATTACGTCATATAGGTACCAGCTGTCGGTAGTACCTGAGTAACAAAATAAAATTGCTTGCATGGTAAACTGTTGTGAATTTAACATACTTCCGAGATTTCTATATTATTATGTTACAAAGGTTTCATTTGAGTAGATGTACAACGATAAACGTACTTGAACGATAAACTGCACGAATAATCTCTATTGTTTACAACCGATTTTGTTTCCGCTTTATTTATATATATATATATATATATATTATAATATACCTTTTTTTTATTTATTTTTTTTTTCAAGATTGGTAGACTTATAAACCAACGATTTATAGATCAGTGTAACCTAATGATTCTTTGGTTCTACTCTCTTGATAAGAACATGATCAATGTCTACATATTATTCACATATTATGATTTATGAATTAAAAATAATACTATAAAGGTACCTCCCCATCGAAAACAATGCACGTTATGCTTGTTGGTGCAAACACTAAAAAATTTATATTTTTAAACACCTATCTGATACATGTTATTTATAAAACAAGCAGATATTGTTTCAATTAAATAAGGCCATAATATTATATCGTCCATACTAGACGTGTGGCTTGTCGTCCTTAAGCGTTTACCACATATTTTCCAAACGAATGAGCGCCTTGTAACATAATAAATTAATACCTATTATAATATGATATAAACAAATTACGAGGCTAAAAAAAGGCCATTAGGAGGTCCAAGCAAGTCGCAGTTTTTGTAATTCCCGTACTTCCCGTACACTGAGAAGAAAAATAGAAAAAAAATGCTTTACAGGGACCCGCTAATAACAGCAACGCGTGACTTGTATACCGCCGTGACACAGACGTAGTATTTATGTGTTATTTATCGTATAATTACTTGCAAACTATTAGTCATGTTGTCGTAAAGTTTCACGAACCCAGACTCAGCTTTCCTCAAACGTTCCACTGTTTCGGACACCCGGACGCGGTGCATTACAGCCGTTATGAATTCCAAGTCCGCGACTAGCGAAGGGAAAAAAACAAATGATTAGTGTTTCGGTGAGCCCCTTGGAGGGCAAGGCCACGTGTTCGTTGAACCAGTAGCGCAATCCATTTTTGTGGGGGGTTGGTCTAAACCCACCTCCTTGAACCGTATATATTTTGTGTACTTCGTATTATCAAGTGGTATAGAAATTTTGAATTGCTTTTAAGTTTAAGAATGGGAACTTGTAATAGGAGTTTGCATGATTTCTAATAACCATCTAATACATTCATCTGATTGAAATAAAAATGTGTAATAATATCAGGAGTTTATGATAGTTTTTACTTTTTTGCATATTTTGCATACTGGAGTGCATAAATCACACATAGGTATTTTTTTTATTACATATTTAGTTTTCTTTAAATTGTTCAAAAATATATACTTGGAGGAGTATCGATTTATATCAGTTTATAAATATATCCATAGTAGAAATTATGGACTAACGGTAATATTTTATCTACAAAAATACATCATTGTATGATGTTCATCAATGAAAAATGTTATATTCTTCAACATTTATGATCTACGATTTTTATTTTTTTAGTGTTATTATTGATGTACATTATAGTTTTTCCCAACTTAAGTTAATATTTAAAATGTAAACTTTTTAACAACATAAATCAATGCTATTTCTGATATAAAAATTATTCTTATATACAACGTAATTAAAATGTTTACGTTTTTATCGCATATTTCAAGAGCACATTCAAGTAACACTATGCATATTTTATAGGCATATTTATTGATTTTTCTAGAGCATTAATAAATGCCAGTTTTTTTATACCATCCCCAAGCTGTGGTTATAATGTAAATTATTTAATAATAATATATTTTAAAAAATGTACATAATAAATATAGGTATTATATACTATATCATTATTATGAACCCCCTCTCGAAATTTTTGGTTGTGCTACTGTACCAAACGTCATAGATCACTAACGTCTTTCCTCCCAGTAGGTGAGCTCGTCGACGATGTGTATCATTCCGTATTCGCATCGACTCGGGATCCGAGTATCATTGTTCAAGTGTAAATGTACGTCGGTGTACCATCGGACCAATTCGGCTACGACCACAAATGAATAAAATCACATATGGGACAATAAGTAATACAATTTATAATGATCATAATATAGTATTAAAATGTACAGCAAAAAATATATAACAACACAGTCACCATGAACAAAATTCCCAGTGATAGTAATTGGAGGTGAAATCAGAATGACGTGACGTCAGTTATTGAAAAAAATATAAGTGCGAAATGTTCAACTAATATTTATTGATATTTTTAAGTGTTAAACCGTAATAGTAACTGCGTAGGAGACTTTATCCACTCGACAGTTATTTTATTTTTGTTTATTATTTCACACATAAACCAAATAATTATAGGTTTAAATTTAAAGATAAAATAAATACATAACATAACACTCATTGTTTAAAAAAAAATTTAAAAAATCTAATTTTCTAATGGTTATGTTTTGTAAAAACGTATCTATTTTGTTTTTATTAAGTTTGTGCCCGTGCAAAATATAGAAAAGTAATTTAGTGTATTTAAACTTCGGAGATATTTTCAAGCATTTAAGTTTGAAACCAATGTTTTGTACGAGGCATAGATTAAAAAAAATGATAAAACTACGGACTTTTAATAAGATGGTATAGGAACTATACTATTGTATATTTGTATTATAATTTATAATAAATTATAAACTTTCGTTAGTATTTACGTCTAAAAATAAATTGGATTTAAGATTTCAAAACTCAATAACAGTGAACTAAAATACTGTTTTACAGCTTAATATTACTAGGTACCATGATATTTAAATCACATACGAGTATAAAATTATACATTTTTTAAAATTGACCGAACTAAGTGAAAAAAATCTTCAATGTCATATCAGGGAGTATTAATAATTTTATTTACTATGTGCGTCTAAGAATTAATATTAATATCAGACTGTGTAACATCAACGATTTAAACACAATACCCTAGTTAAATGTATATTTTTAAATACCATAGTAAATATCATAGTATTGTGATACACGGTGAAGAAAAACCATCCCTTGGAGACATTATATTGTGGAGTACAAAAAAAAATAAAATTGATACATGGATCAAGAAACAAATACTTCGTTAAAAACAAAATCATCAGAGGTTGAATTAAGACAAGTAATCGAACAAACTTCTCTGTGGACGGGCTGACAGCAGCAGAACACAGACATGTGCACATAGAAATAGTGTAATAGCGATTCTTTATTTTAGTGATAGACAGTCGTATTTTTTTCTTCTCAGACGAGAGCAGACATCTTTTTTCTCGTGAGGTTTATAACGTTTCATACATGCGTCAAGTCATACATTTAATGGTAATAGGTATACGGTGGCGTAAAATGCGTTTCGACCGTCGGCTATAGACATTACACGCCTTTCGTATAACGACGGGGTCGTCACCCATGGGACACATTTACTAAGAAAAACGCACCCACCCTCGGTGGACGGCTATTCGCCTAGTCCCGGTGCAAGGTTCAAACGTTGGCTATAAAAGAAGGTTTGCAATTTGCATTTATTTCATTTTTTTGTATTTTTCAATTCTACAGTAGTACAGTAGACAAAACGTCGTACGCTGCAGCCTACAATCGGCTGAAATGACGTACCCGCATAACGAGGTTCGTAGGATTTCTTTGTGGACTATTCAAAGACGAGTCCTATTCGCCTGTTGTCATGATATTGTCACTTTGATATTATGTGCACTCGAACTGTCCATTTCCCACCCCCTCGGAGTCGAATCAGATTTCCACTCCTTAAAAGAGGTTTTTGGTAGTGAGGTTTTTTTAAGATCCATATAAATAATTAGGTGCAATCTCTGTTATAGACCATCGGCGTCCAAATCGAATGTTTCAATCGCTTTTGATCGGTTTCGATTATCCGTAACGACTCATAAAATGGAAGCTGAACGACAGTATACAAATCTGTTCGGCCTTACCAATTTTCCCGGTTGAATTGAGTGTATGAAATAAGCCCCAAAAAAGTAAAAATTAAATATAGCCCCGTAGGTACTTGGTTTGATACCGATATGAACCCAAACATAAAGGCACATTCAAAATGAAATCACATTCACCAGTTTATTTTAAATAATAAAGGCATGTATTCCAATATTCCAATCATGAATGGTATAGCATAAAACCACTCAATGCCTCATTGATTGCCGATTGGTGAGACCGAGAATTTTTTTTAAGACTTATATGATTCAAACTGAAAATTAATCTCGAAAAATACCGATCACCTACGGTGCATAAGAAAATCTAAACATTCTTGTTTCTTCATTTTGCGAAAAATACTAATCTTTAAATAATATTACAGCATTATTTATTATATTTATAATATATTTTCATTCTAAGCGATTGTTTAATACAACTAAGGCTAGTTATGGCAACCATTGTTTTTACGGGTTTTGGTATCAATTTTCTCCCGAGAACTCTCATAAAAACATACTATATTAAAAAATAGTACCTTGTTAATATTTGAATCCATTTTTTTATTAATCACTTAAAAATCGTAAATACTTCGACAAATCGTGTATAGATGATAATTGTGAAGCTTGACATTCCTTTCCTTCAGAAGACACTATATTACTATAATGAAGTCCTAAAAGATTTCCTTTAGATGTAAAATAATTATTTTCTGTTTTATTTAAGATCTGTACCCTTCTCTCACTTTTTGTTTAATATACCATATACGTTATTTTTTAGTTATTTAGTTTTCTTGCACGCTTAACACATATACTCATTAATACTACAACAATGATAATAATAGTATCATGGTTCAGTACCAATTCTTTACTATTATAATTATTTTTAGCTGCACTCGAGTATTATAAGACTAACCTTCTTGTTGCCTGATGAAATGCTCTTCTTCTTCCTCCTCCAACATCTTGTAAACGATTAACGCTGATTTAGGGTAACCAAAATAATAATATGACCAAGAGCAAAATTAAGTTTTTCAAAAAAAAAAAGAAATAATCACAAACAATTAATCGTATAAAACGAAAACAAATGCAAACAATTTTGTTCGTTGCCTTAGATACATGTAGATACCATGTAACATGGCTTGTAAAAAATCGATTGGTTATTTTTAAACAAATAGTGTATTATATTGTATTAAAATAGAAAGAACAATTAATAATAGTATAGGAAACTTAATTAGTCCTAAACTCATTACGGTAAATCACGCAATGCTCGAGTCACGACTCTCGTGCGACTTTTCTCTACCTGCGTTTTGTGCTCATCAATCGTCTTGTCGAGCTTGTCAATTTTTGAAAATTCGATAAGAGTTAAATGATCTCCCATTACCTTAGGAGATATTGTTTACAAACCGTAGAACAGATAAGTCCTACTTTCAATTATTAAACGCCTTAGAAAAATGAATGTTATTAACTACACTGTAAAATACATAAGCTACTAGCTGTTGTATTTTAAAAATAGTAACTTCATTTTTAATTTTTAAATGACTATTGTACTCGTACTTAAATTCTAAAACTGTTGAAAAAATAATTCAATAAACTGAACTATAAGCTCGTATTGATTTTCAGATTTTCAAATTTATTAAATGATAATATTGATATTCATTTAGATGGAAATACAACACAAGCAGCATACAATTATTAGTTGTATGTTCAAAACCCAGGAAGGATGATTTCGTGTTCACATTTTTAAATATTTATTCATAAGATCTATAGAATAATTTAGTAACCTTTAAGCCTTAAGCTATAGGTTTCTTGGATAAACAATTATCCACGTGCTACTAAAAACAAATATTCGAGTAAACATACTGCTACATTCTAAATAATATTAATAAATGTTTGCTCGAACGTCTTGAATCAACTTGTTTTTATTTTTGTTCAACGGGTTTTAATATAATATCGTGGTTAGTACTAAAACAGCAAAACAACTAATGTTGTAATTTATACATATTTCCCATTAACATAATATATTGCTTGCAATAGTTTATTCATGTTGTATCGACGTCGATATTATCTCGTTAGCCATGTGATCGGTGTTTAATTTTAAAATTTAGTTGCAATAATACAAACGAAGGTACATCTCTGCATTCATAAACTTAACATATAGTTTTTTTCAAACGCATATTATTATCATGTTTTGTTTTCAATGATTAAATGTACGATTTAAATTTAAAAACGTAAATAAATAACTTGTAGTTTTTACTATAAATTTTAATCTTGAAACAACATAATAATATTGTTCAAGTTTGGTTTAAACCTATTTACTTATCAGAGACACCAAACAAAATAAACATATTGGTTCGTTTTAAAAATTGTTTTTTTAAGATTTCTATTGGATTGTTACATTATCGTGAGACTCGTATTTTACTATTTTCATAAATACATTTATAATTAGTAAATAATATGAAATAATATTTTGTCAGTCGATTTATATAAGTTTCTGAACTGCACTATAAAAACACAGTCAAAATATATTTAATAAAACTTAATAAGTATATATATATAATATATATACAGATTAAAGATCAATATAGGTATTAAAAATGCATATATTTTGTATTTTTTTAGGCTTCCGTGCTGGTTTTTTCAGCGAGACCCGATATTTCTCGGTAAAAAAATTAAATTAAATAAATAAATCTAACAGGTTAGATATAACAGGGTATTAATTATAGGATGGGATATCGTCCATAGTTAATATTACATATTTTTATTCTGCCAAATTTTGTAGTTGAGGATTTTTGCTATTTAAAATATATTCTTTAGTATTTTCGTTCCATTAGCTTTCTTGGGGAATCTGAGAATTTTTTTGTTGATTGCATATGTGCCATTTTCATTGTTAGACTCTAAAGACTTGTAAAAATGAGAACGTTGTTAATCTAGTTTTTTTAAAATTAATTCATATTTATCACAATCTGTACACTGTACACGTTAATAACATACTTATATATTAAACTGAAAAAATTAAATTTACGTTCAACAATTTGTAAAAGATGGTCTTAAACTTGAACAATTCCTCCAAATTTAGTCAAACTTGACGAAAATCGCAATCAAAATTAAACAATAAAATTGAAAAAATCAGTATCACCTAATTGATATAAATATACAATACACGTTTTTTTTACTTTAAAAGTTAGGTTTCTAAATACCAAAAATAAACTCCATTACATCAAAATAACACGGGATTACTGCTAGATAGAGCAAGATACCTGCTGCTCCATCTGTACCTAAGGGTTATTTGATTATTTTAAATAGTATGTAGTTTATGTCGAAAAAAAATTATCACATAATATGTAATAGAGATTATAGAACTTGTAACTAAAACTAGTATACGATTTTGCATACTGTCAAAGTTGAGTACGTAGATAATTCATCGTCCAGGCAGAATGCCAAAATAGAAATATATTATAAACTTTGTAAGTGAATCATACAATATTTTCACATAAATAATATAATATACCTAATACACTTATATTTATAGTAAATGTCATAAACTTGTTCATGCTGATACATTAATTAAGCAAGTTGATCACAAAGGAAGTTACAACACAAGAGCTTGCTATGTCGTACTGTTATAGGCCAGCTCTATTCAATGAAAGTATTTAAATTTGATGTCTTGGTTTTTTTTCGCGGTCAGAGTGGTTTTTGTTTTCATTTAGCTTTAAAATTATATTTCCGCAGATTGACATATCTGGAATCGCTGGTTCATTGGATTGATAATGGGTTGAATAATAATATATTTAACCTAACATTAACATACGTAAGTACCTATACACACATAGTTGTTTAATGTAGTAATAACTAATTTCTCATTAATAAGAAATTAATTATGCTATAATATACATATAAATATGATTGAAAATCAAAATTAATGAATTTAACCAATGAATTGGAAACAATGGTGAAAAAATAATCAAGAATATTTTTTCGGATAAAAATAATGTTTATTTTTATTTGTTTTAGTCATAACGAGAAAATTACGAGAGTGACAACTACAGTTTTTCATGTTGAGTTATTATTATATACATCATGCTTGCACTATATATTTTACAATAAAGTTTATTATTGTATTAGGCTATAATAGAGTGATGTGTTATACATTTCTTTCTTGTTCATTTTGCTTTTGTAACTATTGATATTACGTTTGTTTTACAAACCATTCTTCCTAAAAAAATATCAATATCTACCTACCGTTATGAACAATTTCAATTTCCCTTTGAATGTTACTAATTCTTATATTTTTAAGATTAACAAAATTATTATTCTTAAATCAAATTAATAGTAGTATTTTATAAAAGATTCAATTTAATATAATCCCTGGTATTTATTTTATACAGTTACAATACATGTATGTTACAGTCTCTAAATGCGCAGCTCTAAACCAATATATACCTTGAATTTGGTTCGATTGCATTTTTGTCCATAATTTGATTTGACCGAAGTTTGTTCTCATCCATTCAATGTATGATGATATTGTTAAGCAGATACTTAATTTACAACGATCTATTTTCAAACTAACTTATTTTGTTTTTCATACATTTTTAAAAGACTTTATTTTTATTTTCGAATTTCGTACCTTGCAAAATATAAATAATAATACAAATGTACTATATTTAAATTAAATGCCAATCAATTAAATTGTAAATCACGATAATTCGAACGAACAGGTGGTACAAATGAGGACTAACGCATAGACCTTAGTGAGTCGAAATAAAATACTAAATGTTTAACAACATTCCTATATCTGAAAACCTATTTCAAGAGTCTAAATGATGATTCATTACATACTTTTGATCGATTTGTATTCATACTTACCTAACACATGACATGGTCATAAGTACATATTGCCATTATTGTATTATTCGATCATTGGCAAAAGCTCTAGTAATTTTTCGCCCAAATGAATAGTCAATCATAACTTCTTGGCACATGTTATTCTATAAATTTAATAAAGGAACGTGCGATAGAAAAAAAAACACAACAGAACAGCTTGAAGCAAATATTAATCAAGTAAAACAATGCCCTGCATTGCGCCGCATTGAAATTCTAGCAAAAACGATGGATGAAAAAAAAATGTAGATAAGCTCCACTCTTGAATTATAATTATAATTATACATTTTTATTTTAATATTTTCAACAACCGTAAAAGATCTCTTGTAAGATTTACATTATACCATACGTAATTTATTCACATAAGCCATACAATTTACACTTATCGTAATTTATTTTTCTGTTCATTGGTTTCAAAGCCAGTTTTTTCTCCTATGTGAGACATGAAAAATTACTTTACACATAAATCGTACAAATATATTTATTCACATTTATTCTTAAATGATATCGTTAAATAAAAATTGTTATCTAAATCAAATAACCCTAGAGCCGAAAGTGTTTTATTTCCATGTACAACCAATGTTTTGGGATCCACGTATCTTGGTACAACATTTTATTACATTTTGCAGTTTAAAAAATACATATAGGTTATTCAGATACTATAAATACATAAATAATGCTAAATACTATAATTAAAAGAATTTGGAATGAATTTCCTAATTGTTGCATATTCATATGTTCTGCAGTATGTATCAAACATTCGAACTGACTATACTCAGAATTACCTAAAAAGTAAATTGACATATTTCATTTTTTAGTGACTAAAATTCGTGTAGTCGAAGTGAAGTCGTGTAAAAAGTTTTTACACGAATACACTACAAACTTTGTATTTCGATCACATAGGTAGCCATATTAATGTTCAGAATTCACGTATAAGTTATAAATATTGATTTAAAACCATTTTATGTTCTGAGTATTGGTGGAGAAGCTATGGATTTTACAAATGATGAGATTTTACTTTTATGCTTTTGATGTGGAGAATAATTTATAAATAACCATACATTTTTGTTATGTATTCCAATAT